CAATATTGATGTATAAAGCTGGTTTCCTTTACATACACTAATAATGAATCATCTAAAAAGAAAATTAAGAAAGCAATCCCACTGGCAATAGCATCAAAAAGGATAATGCACTAAGGAATGAACTTTTTTTCCTATGTAAATAGAAAAACAATTCTAAATCTTTTTACAATTCTATATAAATTATATTTATAATTATATATATATAAATTATATTTATAATTATATATATATAAATTATATTTATAATTATATATAAACTACAATTCTATATAAATAGGAAAACAATCCTAAAGAATCAGAATAACCAAAGGAAGCTTGAAAATGGACAAACCAGCCTGAGGCCTCCCGTGTTCAGATTTCCAAATATATTAGATTTCCAAATATATTACAAAATTGCAGTAAGTAAAACAGCATGGTGCTGGCTTAGAGACCAACATATATACTAGCAGAATGGAATAGAACAGAAATAAACCTATGTGTACACAATCAACTGATCAATGACAAGGAATGGGGAAAAGATAATCTCTTCAACAAAGGTGCTGGGAAACCTGGATGCACACATGCAAAAGAAAGAAATTGGACCCTTATACTATATACAAAAATCAACATAAAATGCATTAAAGACTTACATGTGAGACTATAAACTGTAAAACTCCTAGAAGAGAACATAGGGGAAAATTTCCTTGACATTGGACTTTGCAGTGATTTGGTGGATATGACACCAAAAACACAGGGAACATAATCAAAAATAGGCAAGCGCAACAACATCAAACTAGAATCTTTCTGTACGGCCAAGGAAACAACCAACAAAAATAAAAAGGCAGCCATTTGAATGGGAGAAAATAATTGCAAATCGTGTATATAATAAAGGGTTGATTTCCAAAAGGTGTAAGGAACTCCTAAAACTCAGTAGCAAAAAAAATCAAATAACCTGGTTCAAAACATTTTCCCAAAGGTGTCGGTTATGGTCTCTAAAGCTCCCCAAATGAGTCCATGTGAACCTGTGGAGACTTAATCACTCTCTGGGGTGAAACTCAAGTGTAGTAAGTGGCTCCTAAGCGGCCTCCCTTTATTTATCCTGATTTGTCACAGAAGTCTTAGTCTATTCTATTGATATGGTATCTGTGTATAAACTCATTATTTTAGTAGTTACTAAATATAGGTACCTATAAATATAATTCAACCAACATAGAGTTTGGTTATCTATTTCTTAGAGTTGTCTCTGTATGAGTTTCCTATTGCTGCTGTAACAAATCACTACAAATATAGTGGGTTTAGTACAACACAGATCTATTATCTTAAAGTTCAAGAGGTCAGAGTCTGAAGAGAGTCTTGTGGATCTAAATCAAGGTATCCACATAGCTGTGCTCCTTATGACAGCTATAGTGGAGAATCTGTTCCTTGCCTTTTCCTACTTCTAGAAGTTGCTTGGATTCCTTAGATTGCGACTCTGATCTCTGCTTCCATCATCACATCACCTTCTCTGACTCTCACTCTCTTGCCTTCCTCTTACAAGGACTTTTGTGATTACACTGGGTCTACCTCAGTTTTCCAGAATCATCTTCTCATCTCAAGATTTTTAACTTTATCACATCTGCAATGTCTTTTTGCCATATAAGGTGACATAGTCAAAGGCTTCAGGGATTCAAATGTGACAATTTGGAGGTCATTATTTTATCTACAACAGTGTAAATAAACCAACATGTGATAGGGGCTTGACCACAGTATTCCTGAATTCACATTGTATTAACCTGGGAATCATGTCGCCAGTCCCATTGGCTCAAACAATGATCGACAATACATACTCACAGCCATGTGGATCATGGGAATCTCTCTCCACAATGTCACATAAGATTATAAGTCACCATTTGTCTCATTCAGTTTCAATGCATTTGTTCAAATGAAATGCCAAGCCACAACTTTTTCCCTAAAAAAATAGTTGCCACTTTGGGCACACTATATTATAGCATCCTTGCCAAGTTAAGTTGTTTGAATGACATAGGCATATAATCATAGTGCATATTCTCTACAATGCTAGGCCGCTGGCCCTCACACTTACAGCATAGTAAAACATATTTAGTCTGCTCTTTTCGTCTCTTCATTCATTGAATAAATATTTTCTAAGTACCAACTAGGGACTGTAGTGTTCTAGTTGCTAAATCAAAGGACCCCAGAGATCACTCTGCAGGATTCACACACACACACACACACACACACACACACTAAAAGACTCATCCTTTGAACTCCTAACTCCACATAACATCAACCACCAGTCTATAGGGACTCAGTCTATATGTGTCACATTCAGAGAAGCTGGGTTACTTGATCAGTCACTGTCACAAAGAGAGTGAGTGGAGTGGAGTAGTGCCAGGTCATCCCTGAGGCTGTGGGCCAGCCTATCGATGGCTGGTTTGGACAGAAGTTCATTCCTGATGAAACTACTGTGGCTGGTATTGTCATGATGACTATAGTGGTGAGGATTGCACTTAAGACCTCAGAAGGAGGTCTGGAGCATCGAGAGCATTCTGGAGTTTCTCGGAGTGAGGCAGTGCCTATAGAAGGCAACATGTGTAGTGCATCCTGGACAAAACGCAGATATTAATGCTATTATTGCATATTTCACTTACTGTCACTTCTTAATTTTATTTTTTTTAAATGTTTTTTATTTATTTCTAGGAGAGAGAGAGAGAGACAGCGTGAGCAGGGGAGGGTCAGAGAGAGAGAGGGAGTCACAGATTGAAACAGGCTCCAGGCTCTGAGCTGGAAGTCAGCACAGAGCCCGACGCGGGCCTCGAACCCACGAACCGCGAGATCATGACCCAAGCGAAAGTCGGACGCTTAACCGACTAAGCCACCCAGGCGCCCCTTACTTACTGTCACTTCTTATTCTCTTCTTTCTCCCTATTTCTGTGTGGATACATCTTAACCCAGTCACCTTTTCATCGCAAGCTACTGTTTTGTCCTCTCACTTTTTAATTTGCTGATTCTTGCATTTTATTGAGAATGCAAAGCAGATGCTTTCTAATATTCTCTTTTCTATAAACAGAATTTTTTTAAACTATGGCTTACCTTTGTACCATGAGTTCAGTGGTTCATTGTGTTATGTTTAAGAATTCTAAGCTTCATGTTAGATTACTTCTGTTTTGTTTTGGTTTTTTTTGAATGATTAAAAGTCCATAAGACTTGGTGCTTATCACACATAAGGTCAATGACTTTCACTTTGTCTCTATCACCAATTAGCAATTATTAGAATTCACTTCTCATTTTTGAATATACTAAGTAAATGTTTTGTGTCTATCTGGCACAGTTTTCCTGGACCCATTTCCTGAATTCATCCTCTAGTCGGCCTATATAGCTAGGAATTAGTTCCTAGATATTTGGAATATTTGGAAGTAATGTGTAGCTTGTCCCTTGTGCAAAACAGTGCTTAAAGTCTGCAAATTCACAGGTTCCTGCCTATATGGATCTTTCTGTCTCTGAGTCTTTCAATTCCATCTTCGTGTTCCAAGGCGCCACATACATACACCATGTGTTCACTTCCACACTAGTAGCAGTGGATACACGGAACTGCAGTTCCAGAATCAAGTTATAAAAAGAGCTTGCTTCATGGAGGTGCCATTAGAGCTGTTGGAGAAACTGCAAATCAAGTTTGCCTCTAGCAAGAATACAAAGGGTAGAAGGGCAAGGGGTTAAACGTCCAAGTCCTCCGTAGCAGCCCAGAGTGTGAACACAGGCCTGCGTCACCACGGGCCATGGGCTGCTCAGCCTGGGCTCAGGACCTGTGTGGACGGGGCTTTGGGCTTCACTGCATGTGATGGGGAGAGTATGGCAGACACCACAGTCCACCGCGAAGAAGGGAGGCAGCTGGCGGGTGCAGTAGCCTCAGCAGATGCCTGACAAATCAGACCGCGCAGCATCTGCTGCAGTGGGACTTACTTGTGAGCCCACAGGGGACACTTCCAGAAATAATTCATGGGTACTTTACAGAGGGCTGAACTTTTACAGGGCCAGGTTACACCAGAGTCAGGGATATTTGAAGTCTCCACCGACAGGGATTCCATTGTTCCAGCCTTCCAAACAGAGGCAGAGCTTCTAGGCTTCTCTACTCACTAGGCCTAATTTTCAAAACTAGTTTTACTAGTGGGAAGAGGGCCTTCTTTACTCATCTTGAGTGACAGAAAGAGCTGGCCATGCAAGAAGACAAAAAACGATGATGTCAACGGAACATGAACAATTCCCAAAGGCTCAAGGCATTAGAATTGGCATAACAATGGATAAGGATGCCACCCTTCTATTGTTGGGAGTGCCATGGAGGGTGTGCAGTGATTTCTCTAATGAGGAACTCAGTGGGCAATTGTGAAAGTGTTTTGCATTGGATGAGGGTACTTGAAGTTCTGGAATTCTAGCAATACTGCGGGTAGAAGCTGAGAGTAAAGACTTTTCTTTATTATTTTTAATTTACACTCACACATTGGTTGTAGCATCCACTCCAGCTTACTGTGGAAGCCAAGGAGACAGGATTTCTGAAGTTCCCCTTATTATGGCCCTCAGCAGAATAGAAATATTACCCAGGACATGAATGGACAGTGAAGGCTTTATCTTTCCTGTGGTTCACATTTTAGGTTAAAAAAGTGAGGATATCATTTAAAGAAGATAGAGAAATAAGTTAAAGACACTTTGGACAGATAAAGAGGAAATAAACAGCATGACTGTGAAATAAGTATGTCTTTTATGGGAATAATCAAGTCACCTCAGGAGCAGGAAATGACATTCAAACAGATTTCCTTGCATCCGGGCCCACTAACAAACAGCAAGCAAAGCATAAGGAGATCTTGCAGATGGGAAAATAGCAAAGTAAAAAATGAGCCAGGGAAGATTTGCATCCAGAGGGAGGTATTTTCTTGCATGATACAGTAGTGGGACTTGGAACCTATCCCCCACCTGGAAATTATTGCAGAGATTTTGAGTCTGTGCCCAAGAAGATACTTTGGAGTAGAAGAATGATGCCCCTCCAGCTCACTACCTTCTGCATAACCATCTATGTGCTCAAGTCCTGGAGAGTAATTATGCAAAGCAGCTTAATTTTTGCAGTGCTTGGCAGAGAGTGGGTGCAAGTCCTTGATGGACTTGATTCTCACCTGCCTGGGTATTCTGTCTATGGTGAGCATCAGTGCTGTACAATTTTCGCTCTTATTGTAAGCTTAGCTATGTATTTCAGTACTTGTCAATAACCTGGAAATTTACTAATACTCTTTGTTTCTGGTTAACCGGCTTTGGTGCTGTCTTCTAATGTTTCAAAGTCTCTTCCTTTACCGGTCCCCTCTTCCTCTAGCTGAGGTGCAGAATGCTGACGTTTATTCTTTGGTTATTGCTGCATTCTTTGTTGATTTTTTGTGTGTTGATCATCTTTTCAGCTATTAGGAATTATATCAGTTTTACTTAACCACCCTGGGGCATTTCCTTACAAACAGCATTATGGTTAAGAGACCTAAGACATTCCGTTTGTATTTTACCACATCTCACCAAATGGTTGCATTGGTTATTCCTTTCCTCCTGTTCCTGGCCTCCACCATCTTGCTCACGGTCTCACTAACACCATAGCACTGGTCACTGCAGCTCCAGCATGAAAGCTCACACCACTGCCCTGAGGTCTTTTGCCATCTTTCTCATCCTCTTCACCTCTTACTTGCTGACCCTACTCCTCTCGATTATGAGCATCTCATTGGATAAGAGGTCTTGGTTCTGGGCTTGGGAAGCTGTCATTTGTGCTACAGTCTCTCCTCACTCTGCTTCACTAATACTGAGCATCCTTAAATTGAAAAAGATTTTAAAGATAAGGAGCTGGAGCCTAGAGACTAGACTGCCTGAGGTGCAGGGCACAACAAGACCCTGGGTAAATGGGAGATTGCATTGACACAACTAATACCAATAACCTGCCTTACCCTTGACAATCTCCCATGAAGTAGTGATACACCATAAGCCCAAGCCTCATTCTTCTTCATCCCCACAGCCATCTATCTCTAATCAATTCTTTCCCTATTCCATGACACTCCTTCATTTCCTTTCCACAATCGCCATGTTGGTCCCAACTTTCACATGACTTACACACATCTCCATAGTCCTGTCTACTCCTAGAATCTTACTGTCTGTATATTAAACACACACACACACACACACACACACACAAATCATGATGCCTACATGTTATTTTTATTTTATCCTTTTCATGACTGCCAATTACTTTACACATTAAAATGAATCCCTTTCCCTCAAGAATTTATTGCCCACACCTTGAATGTTCCCCATGCTAACCCCTCAATCCACTTTCCTAACTTTAGCCAAGAAAATGTCTTGCCATCTCTCTCTCTCCTCTCTCTCCCCCTCTCCTCACTCTCTGCTGCTGTTGCTGCTGCTTCTAAACCTTTATCCAGTGACATAAATTTGCTTATTTGTTTCTCTACCAAATACTGTCCCTTATTTCCTTTAAAACTCAAGTCAAAACTGAATTCCTCTTTCATTTTCCTTCACCAAGACACCGTACTCTTCCTGGAATAGCAGACTACTGACCCATAAGTAGTTCATCCTAGAACCTCTCCAAATATTGGCAACCTAACTGGGTCAATTGTAGATGGTTTCCATTGGTTGGATTCTTGCCTCTCTATTGTACTACAAGTTGGACTGAACTTTCTAGGAAGATTCCTAGATTGAGGCTTAACTGGGTATAAAACCCAGGTGTCAGCTGGGAAACTCCTCTTACTTTGTAAAATCTGAGTTACATTGGCTTACATTTTCTAGTCTCTTCTATATGTCCTCTGTCATAATTCAAAGTCCTTCTCAAAAGGGTAAGAATATAAGAGCTGCATAGTACTCAATGAAGAATCACCAGTACTTGAACTAGGTGCCCACGGTCCGAGAAGGCGCCAGAAAAAACTGCACTGCAGCGCTCCTGACACCATCCCTGGTGGTGGTGTCCCAGTGACGCAGTGGCGACACTGGAGGCACGTGGTGGCAGCCTGGACTCTGCAGAGTGAAGTTGCTATGTTCCCTAATGTACTCGCACTTGGGTTATATTGCTACTTGACCCCGGCGGATCTGAGGCTGCGGCACTTCACCCACCCCCCACTCAACCCCCAGCAGAAGGGATGCAGCGACCTACGGGACTGTTTAGGGAGGTATAAACAAAGCCCGCAGACTGGGACCTGGAAACGAGGCAGGGTGTGGGGCATAGAACTCAGCCCACCTTGGCTACATCCTCAGCACAGGGAGATCAGACCCAAAGAAGTGATTTGCAATGTTTGGTTGAGAAGGAACTGGGGGGATGCCATTCTTCTCCCCACAGCCACCAAGGTGGGGCCTCAGGGAGCAGCCATCGGACACAGTGGAAGTGAGAACTGCCTACACCAAACCACTCCCATCCCCTCCATGGAACTGTTTTGTTGTTGTTGTTGTTGTTGTTGTTGTTGTTGTTGTTTTTACCTGAGCCTGGGTTTGCGTGTTTATTGGTTTTGTCTGTGCGTTTGTGTACCTTTGTTTCCTCCGTGGTTGTCTGTTTTCTTTTTCCAGGGCTGCCTCAAGAAACAAGCCAAACTACACATGGTGGAGAGTCCCAAATACTGCTATGAGTGGGAAACAAAATAACCAAATGCTCAACAAGAGAAACCAAGAGACACCATTCAAAGAACACTTCCTGAACAGACAGGCCCTGAACAGTCAAAAAACCCTCTCTAATACAGCAGCAATCGCAGGGACAGAGTGTAAAACAAGCTTTTAAAATTAACAACAGATAGAAAGCTAACCAAAATGACAAAACGGAAGAACTCTCCTACAAAGAAATTCCAGGAAGAAATGACAGCTAAAGAATTGCTCAAAACAGATATAAGAATTTAGAACAATAGTGATAAAATTAGTCCCTGGGCTTGAAAAAAGCATGGAGGACATCAGAGAAACTTTGGCTACAAACATTATGTAGATTAAAAATAGTTATGATGAATTAAAAAATGCGATAAATGAGATACATAATAAACTAGAGACATCCCATGCACCGATTGAAGATGCAGAAAGTAGAATAAGTGATTTAAAAGACACAATTATAGAAAAAGGAGAAATAGAGAAAAGAGAGATAAACTGATCCAGGAACATGAAAGAAGAGTTCAAGAACTCAGTGATACAATCAAATGGAACAATGTCCATATCATAGGAATCCTGGAAGAGGAAGAGAGAGGGAAAGGTGCTGAAGGAGTCCTGGAACAACTAATAGCAGAGAACTTCCCCAACCTGGGGAGGGAAGTAGATGTTGACATTCAAGAGGCACAGAGAACTCCCCTCAGACGTAACTTGAATCGATCTTCTGCATGACATATCACAGTGAAACTGGCAAAATATAAGGACAAAGAGAATATTGAAAGCAGCTAGGGAGAAAAGGGTCCTAACATACAAAGGGAAACCTATCAGAGTGGTGACAGACCTGTCTACTGAAACTTGACAGGCCAGAAAGGAATGGCAGGAGATCTTCAATGTGATGAACAGAAAAAATATGCAGCCAAGAATCTTCTATCTAGCAAGCCTGTCATTCAGAATAGAAGGAGAGATAAAAGTCTTTCCAAATAAACAAAAATTGAAAGGATTAGTCACCACTAAACCAGCCCGACAAGAAATCCTGAAGGGGACTCTCTGAGGGAAATGTTGCAAGGAACGCAAGATGCTAGAGACCCCACCACAAGCATGAATTCCACAAGGGACACAAAGACTCTAAACCCACATATTTCAATAATAACACTGAATGTAAATGGGCTGAATGCCCCAATCAAAAGACATAGGGTAGCAGAACGGATAAAAAATCAAAATCCATCTATCTGCTGTCTACAAGAAATGCATTTTAGGCTGGAAGTCGCCCTCAGAATAAAAGTAATGGGATGGAGAAATATACATCATGCTATTGGAAGTCAAAAGAAAGCTGGAGTAGTTATACTTATATCAGACAAACTGGACTTTAAATTAAAGATAGTAACAAGGGATGAGGAAGGGCATTATATAATAATTACAGGGTCTATCCATCAGGAAGAACTAACAATTATAAATGTCTATGCACCAAATATGGGAGCACCTAAATATTTAAAACAATCACAAACATAAACAATCTTATAGATAAGAATGTGCTAATAGTAGGGTACTTTAATTCTCCTCTTATAGCAATGGATAGATCATCCAGACAGAAAATCACTAAAGAAACAATGGACTTGAATGACACATTGGACCAGATGGATCTGAGAGATATATTTAGAACTCTACTTCCTGAGGCCATGGAATTCACTTTCTTCTCAAGTGCACATGGTACATTCTCCAAGACAGATCACATACTGGGACATAAAGCAGCCCTCAATAAATATAAAAGAATTGAGATCACACCATGCACACTGTCAGATCACAATGCCATGAAACGAAATCAATCACAGGAAAAAGTCCGGAAAACCTCCAAAAACATGGAGGTTAAAGAACACCCTACTAAAGAATGAATGGGCCAATCAGGCAATTAGAGAAGAAATTAAAAAATATATGGAAACAAATGAAAATGAAAATACAATAATCCAAACTCTATGGGAAGCAGCAAGGAAGTCCTAAGGTGAAAGTACATTGCACTCCAGGCCTATTTCAAGAAATTAGAAAAAGCAAAAGTGCAAAATCTAACAGCTCACCTAAAGGAACTAGAGGGAGAGCAACAAGAGCACCCCAAACCCAGTAGAAGAAGAGAAATAGTAAAAATCAGAGCAGAAATAAACAACATATAAACCAAAGAAACAGTTGAACAGATCAATGAAACCAAGAGTTGTTTTTTTTTTTAAAATAAACAAAACTGACAAACCTGTAGCCAGGCTTCTCAAGAAGAAAAGAGAGAGCACTCAAATAGACAAAATCATGAATGAAAATGGACTTATTACAACCAACCCCTCAGAAATACAAGCAATTATCAGAGAATACTATGAAAAATTATATGCCGACAAACTGGATAACTTAGAAGAAATAGACACATTCCTAAACACACACTCACTACCAAAATTCACACGGAAAGAGATGGAAAATCTGAAGACACCCATAACTAGTGAAGATATCGAATCACTTATTGAAAATCTCCCAACAAATAAGAACCCTGGACCAGATGTCTTCCCTGGGGAATTCTACCAGACATTTAAAACAGAGTTAATATCCATTATTCTCAAGCTATTCCAAAAAATAGAAATTGAAGGAAAACTTCCAGACTCATTTTATGAAGCCAGCATCACTCCGATTCCCAAGCCATACAGAGATCCAACAGACAAAGAGAACTACACGCCAATATCCGTGATGAAAACAGATGCAAAAATCCTCAAAAAGATACTTGCAAATCGAATTCAACAGCACATAAAAAGAATTATCCACCAAGATCAAGTGGGATTCATTCCTGGGTTACAGGGCTGGTTCAATATTCGCGAATCATTCAATACGATACATCACATCAACAAAAGAAAAGCTAAAACCCATATGATCCTTTTGATAGATGCAGAAAAAGCATTTGACAAAATACAGCATCCCTTCTTAATAAAGACCCTTGAGCAAGTCGGGATAGAAGGAACTTACATAAACATCATAAAAGCCATCTATGAGAAGCCCTCAGCTAACATCATCCTCAACGGAGAAAAACTGAGAGCTTTCCCCCTGAGATCAGGAATACGACAGGGATGGCCACTCTCACCACTGTTGTTTAACATAGTGCTGGAAGTCCTAGCATCAGCCATCAGACAGCAAAAGGAAATAAAAGACATCAATTGGCAAAGAAGAAGTCACACTTTCACTTTTTGCAGACGACATGATACTCTACATAGAAAACCCTGCAGATGCCACCAGAAGCCTATTAGAGCTGATCCATGAATTTAGTAAAGT